ATCGGGCTTCCCATATCTGTCACCTCTCGGTATTCTTCACTACACTGACTTCACTACAGCAGCCCACACTCTTTTCTTCATGCTTCTAACAGTCCTGACTACAGATACTACAGGTACTACCACTACAAAATTGGACTTCCCATATATGTCACCTCTCGGTATTCTTTACTACACTGACTACACTGACTTCACTACAGCAGCCCAAAGTCTTTTCTTCATCATCCTGACTACAGATACTACAGGTACTACCACTACAAAATCGGGCTTCCCATATCTGTCACCTCTCTGTATCATATCGCTTCACTACACTGACTACAGTGACTTCACTACAGCAGCCCAAAGTCTTTTCTTCATCATCCTGACTAGAGATACTACAGGTAATACAACTACAAAAATCGGGGCTTCCCAATTTTCTGGTTCAACCTCTCGGTATTCTTCACTACACTGACTTCACTACAGCAGCCCACACTCTTTTCTTCATGCTTCTAACAGTCCTGACTACAGATACTACAGGTACTACCACTACAAAATCGGGCTTCCCATTTCTCGTGACCTCTCGGTAAACTTCACTACACTGACTACAGTGACTTCACTACAGCAGCCCACACTCTTTTCTTCATGCTTCTAACAGTCCTGACTACAGATACTACAGGTACTACCACTACAAAATCGGGCTTCCCATTCTGTCACCTCTCGGTATTCTTCACTACCCTGACTACAGTGACTTCACTACAGCAGCCCAAAATCTTTTCTTCATCATCCTGACTACAGATACTACAGGTACTACCACTACAAAATCGGGCTTCCCATATCTGTCACCTCTCGGTATTCTTCACTACACTGACTTCACTACAGCAGCCCACACTCTTTTCTTCATGCTTCTAACAGTCCTGACTACAGATACTACAGGTACTACCACTACAAAATCGGGCTTCCTATATCTGTCACCTCTCGGTATTCTTCACTACACTGACTACAGTGACTTCACTACAGAAGCCCAAACTCTTTTCTTCATCATCCTGACTACAGATACTACAGGTACTACCACTACAAAATCGGGCTTCCCATATCTGTGACCTCTCGGTAAACTTCACTACACTGACTACAGTGACTTCACTACAGCAGCCCACACTCTTTTCTTCATGCTTCTAACAGTCCTGACTACAGATACTACAGGTACTACCACTACAAAATCGGGCTTCCCATATCTGTCACCTCTCGGTATTCTTCACTACACTGACTTCACTACAGCAGCCCACACTCTTTTCTTCATACTTCTAACAGTCCTGACTACAGATACTACAGGTACTACCACTACAAAATCGGACTTCCCATATATGTCACCTCTCGGTATTCTTCACTACACTGTCTACACTGACTTCACTACAGCAGCCCAAAGTCTTTTCTTCATCATCCTGACTACAGATACTACAGGTACTACCACTACAAAATCGGGCTTCCCATTTCTGTCACCTCTCGGTATTCTTCACTACACTGACTACAGTGACTTCACTACAGCAGCCCAAACTCTTTTCTTCATGTTAACTAACAGTCCTGACTACAGATACTACAGGTACTACCACTACAAAATCGGGCTTCCCATATCCTCACCTCTCGCGGTATTCTTCACTACACTGACTACAGTGACTACAGCAGCCCAAACTCTTTTTTTCATGCTTCACTTTTCTGACTTTTCTGACATTTAACGTCGCGTTCTTGCGTAAATGCGCGGGGGCAGGGTGTGCCGCGCCTCTAATTGCGCCCGCCGGTGAATTAGACGAACGCCCGTCGTGTCAATGCGAAGCATTCGTCGCTCGGGTGACAGGCCGTGCCTCTTCCGCAGGATTGTGATGCGTTGCCGGCCATGATGCGTCGAATGTCGTGCCTACCGCACGCTCGGACGCCTTTGTATCGGGATTTGTACACGCTGGCGCCGTGTACCGACGCAGTGTACCCGTGAGGTGCGTTTGCCGGCGATTTCGTGACAGCAGTCATGATCACGAACGCCTATCGAACTCCGGCGTAGCATCACTCGGTTTGCAAGTCTGGCGTGTCCCGCATATTCGTGATGCGTTGCCGGTCGTGATGTGTCGCGAACGTCTATCGTAATCCGGCGCCGCATCACTCGGATTGCAAGTTTGGCGTGTCCCGCAAATTCGTGATGCGTTCGCCGGCGATTTTGTGACAGCAGTCACGAACGTCTATCGAAATCCGGCGCAGCATCACTCGGATTGCAAGTCTGGCGTGTCCCGCAAAATTCGTGATGCGTTGTCGGTCGTGATGCGTCGCACAGTGTCTGCCGCACGCTCGGACGCTGTCGTGTCGGGTTGTGTCAACGCTGGCGCCGTGTACCCAAGTGCATTTGCCGGCGGTTTCGTGATGGCTTACACAATCGCTACGCCCCGAAACTTTGGTTAAGTGTCCTGGCGATTTCGTGATTTGGGTGACGGGTGTTCTTGTGATATTTCACATTCTATGACTATGGTACGTACTGGTACGCACTGGGCGCACTGGTACGCAATGGGCGCACTGGTACGCACTCGTACGCACTGGGCGCACTGGTACGCAATGGGCGCAGTGACACCGGGCAGGCATGGCGAATACGATCGGGAAGTGGGCGCGAGGACACCGCTTGCCTGGATGCGCGCCGCGCTAAATTCGTGATGTCTTACATGGAACATGTGCCACACATTCATGTATATGGTCAGACATGAGCCTAAATCCCTCCTGCTATAAAATTGCAACATGATGTAACCCAACACTAGTTACCATGGTAACAGACAGTCTGGTTCAGGTCATTGACCTTTTTGGTTTGGAGAAAAAGAGGAAACGTTGCAAAAACAATATGTTTCCCCTCGGTATACAAAATAAAGAAACAAAATGTAGCATCAATCCAAATCACCTTGCCAAAAAGATGCAGAAAAGTAGCTTGAAAGCTATCAGCATCAAGTCATAATTCCTGGAGGTTAGTCAACCCTAGTTGTCCTGCTATGATAAAACCCAGAACTGTGCCGTGGCAGGCCTGTCGTAACTCTATTTGTGGAGCCATATGCATGACGACTATGCTATAGGGAATCTCAGGGTTTGAGTATGGACACTGAGTATTTGTATCTGTATAGCCGGTATAACCACCCTTCGGCGTAACACACCAGCTTCGCAAGCACGCGGCGCGGCGGCAGCTGGCTAAATTACACCAACAACTTGTTACACCTAACCCTTGAATATCTAACTCTAAACATTGTTTAAAGCTATTTAATGATAATGCCCCTACTGTACTTGGTGACAGCGAGTTCCACTCTGCGATACTTCTAGGAAAGAATTAATTCTTATACACCTCAATCCTTGGTTGATAACTCTGGTACTGGAAGGCATGACTATTTCGTGTTCTCTTCTGGGATGGTATTAGGTACTTAGTAGTTTAGACGTCCACCAGTTTATTGGTCATTTTGTACATCATGCATAGTCTGGACATTTTTCTTCTGTCTTCCAGTGAGACCCACTGTAGGTTTCTTTTTATTTCCACAGAAGTAGCACCTCTTTCATAGTTGTAGGGGATCTGGGGGTTCGAGTATGAACCCTAGTATGTAGATAGACTGCGTGGCGATCAAAGGGGTCGGCGATATCTATGGTTCACTCTAAATGTGTGTTCTTATAACGTTCGATGTTTTCTTCTTTCATCAGATACCAAGAAGTGCAAAAGGATCGACTGGTTCCCCGACGATTTTGAATTTGACAGGCATTCCACGGAGTTCATACTACGTGAGTATTACACATTATAATTTCCCATTACATGGTCCTGGACCTAGTGTTATTGATCAATTGCTGTTAATACATGTAACGCCAGTTGTAGATATACTGTATGTATAGGAATCGTCTTCGCCAGGTCTTTCATAATACAACGTAAAGTTACTACTCTTAAGCTTCAAAGTTTGTTTTATGTCTTTGTAGCTGTAACATTTGTACATACTTCATTATCTCCTTCCTAAAAACGACTAATCATTACTAAGGTGTCCTGTAAAAATCAATGTCTCTTATAAATGTTTGAGAAGGCTGTGAAGCAAAACGATGAGCATATCTTGTGTGAAGTCTCCCGCCGGACTATCCCAAAATCAATGGACGACCACGGAAGATGCGGGAGACATTCAACGGAAGACATATTGAACAGAACAACATAATCCAAGGGGGCATCGATAAAGTTGGTTATTATTATTGCGCAGCAATGAATTAAAAATTATGATATATATAATCATAAAGCCAGAAGACGTCGACAAATCAGAGGGCTCCATTTCCTATTGGTTATCAGGCCGTAACCTCAAAAGTGGTCGGCTATTAGAATAACCGACCACTTTTTGGACCGTACCATTTATACGCTACGCTCACTTGGTGGTTTATTCGCGCACCTGACCAGGGATTATCTCACCATATACACCTCGGGGCAGGGCATTAACCCTTTATTGAACCACATATGAACTGTCATTCGTAATCATGGCCACTCCCTATGGTGTTTGGGACCCATTGTACCCTTTGTCAGTGACCAGATGATATTTCCAACTTTCGTGATAGTAACACGTTATAGGTCCATTTGGTAGGATCGTCTCTGCCTGAGAATTATTTAAGAAACGCCCGGGCATGAAAGCAATCAGTCGATATCACGTCAACGGCTTTATGTCATCGATTTACCGTCTTGGGGGACTTGGAGTCATATTTTATCCTTAAGAATGTGGCTCGCCACTATATTTCATACTTCTGTGTGTCCTTGTCTAATCAGTGGCACGTATAGTGTTAAATGCAGAACTTTATTGACATAACAAAAAGTACAGCGACTTTCATAAGGTTAAACTTCATGTACATGTACGTCGTACGATTTACCATACTGTATATCGTAAAAAACAGTTGCAAAACGAGCAAATATATACTGTAACTTGCAAAAAGAATATTTACAAACGATACCAATGTCGTAGAATGCCAAAATCAAACAAAAAAGACAAAAATGTAAAGAAATGAATTTGAAGATAAGAGTAGATTATTCGCCAAACCATACATATTCTGTGTCATTCGTTCAACCTTCAAAACCACGTAGATTTCATAATGAAAGCAACTTTTTTTCTTGCCAAACTTTTTTTTATTCGCACGCACGCATCAGTTGTGGGGTTCCATGAGTATGTCATCCATGTTATCAAATCAACATGGCCTTAACGATAAACGACACGAAAGCCACCTTCTATTCACTGCGTAACTGGATGACGGACGACAGTGCGTGAACAAGGCCTTATACGCCCGTTTTTTTTCTTAGAAAAACTCCGTATGATTAATCACTAGCTTCAGACAACATTGACCCGACAACATTGCAATGGCAAAAAGAGAACACATCTGCCGACGACTTCGCAAACGATCTGGTAATCCTGTTTAAAGTTAAAACTTTTGGTAAAACACAAAATAAACTCTCACCTAGATAACACTTGGTCAAAGGTATCATGAACCGCGACGGGGGCCGACATCGTCTACCAGATACCTTTGACCCAGTGTTAACGTCACACTTCAAAGAAGCCACATGACAAGCCTCACTGGGTCAGTCTACTGAGGAAGACCAGAGTGACTGGTCAAAAGCTCTAGGTGAGAGAATTCTTTTGTGTTGGACCAAAAGTTTTAACTTTAAACATGTAACTACCAACACAGATGAACTTTCATGATAGGATCTGGTAATCCCTTTACTCACAGGGCCTGACAAAACTAGCATGTAAATTCTTGGAACGTAAAAACTTTTACTTTGTCCAGAATTGTTTCAACACCGCAACTTCATTTCCGAGTTACGTAACCCTGGGATTTTAGACTATGGAACTTTCGATCACGTGAAAAGATTAGTTTTTATCTGCAGGTCAAAGCATCTTTTTCTTGAATGCCATTAGACTACTGTTGCTGTTAGGCCATGTTGATTTAATTATATGGATGACATCCTCTGGAAACCCCAAAACTAACGCGAGCGTGCGAATAAAAAAGGTTTGGCAAAAAAAAGGTTCCTTCATGATGAAATCTACGTGATCATAAAGGTTGAACAAATGACTAAACACACAGAGTACTGTATGGCGAATAACGATAGACTCTTAATTTTTGTTTCTTCACAATTTCTTCTTTTCCTGAATTGATTTCGGCATTCTATGACGTTACTATCGTTTTTCAAAACTTTTTTTTGCAACATACGACATATATTTGCTCATTTTGTACGATTTACAGTATGGTCGAAAGCTTTTTTTAGACAGACGAAAATTCATGCGCGCGCGTATATAATTTCATTTTATACTGTTACTTTTTTATGTGCAAAAGGACAATAAAACAAATAAAACAATGTCACCCACATAATCAAATCAACATGGCCTTAGGAATACCCGCGTGATATTTGGCTGCACAGATGGTGACAGCACTTTTATTCTTGGCAGTATAAAACGTCGAATCTTATTCCCTTGCCCAGCAATCGCCTAATTTAAAAATCTGTAGCTACTGGAACTGGCAAGATTGATAGTATCAAGCGCAGAATTCGCGCGTCGGAATGGCGATAAGCGAACAAGCGTGAACAAGAAACCGTCCGTCTGCCGCGTATTCATAAGGCGATAAAAACCTGCTTCCCCCGATCGAAACACCTTCACAGAGTGTCACTCTTTTTCTCGCACTAGCGTCCAAAATAAACGCCTTTCTTAGGCCACGCCAATTTAATTTGTTGTTTCTCGGATTAGCCCTGTCCATATTTTTTTCTGATTTGCAAAAAAAAATTGAGGTTCTAAATCAACTGCAAAATGCTCAATGAAAGATATATTTTGGCCCCAACGGTTAAAGGACGTCCTTTTCTTCCTAGTTACAACAATGCAACTTTGTTTCATTAAAAGTTCAAAATCTATTGTTTTAATTATAAACCAGCCTGGTATGTTGGCTTCATGGCTCATATTGTAACATTTCCGGCTATCACGGGGGTGCCTTGGCCTGTTTTTGTTTTATTTTGCCCTGTCGGTGTTCATATTTTTTTCTGAAAAAATCCGAGAAACAACGAATTAAATTGGTGTGGCCTTATGAGGCCTATGAGGCAGGCAGGAGGGAGTATGAATTACGCTGACGCACGTTCGGATATCGATCAGAGCCCTGGCATGTCCTATTTCGGGGTGTTTAAAGCCTACTTAAGCGTCTAGATTGTAACATACACCCCATGATTGATCAACAAGACTACATTCCACTAATTAGGAGGAACATTTGGACAGGTGACAAAGCTCCTGAAGGCAAGGTCCCAAACGTTCCGGATAAAGCAACAATATGTGTGAAAAAGAAGATACAATGATATAAGAGACTGTGCAAAGTTATACTACATATTACAACATATGTGGTACTAGTTTTGTTGGGTTTGACTTCTTCTTTTGATACAGTGGGCGACGAATTTACCCACTTCGTCTATGATATGTGGGTTCTTTCATTTTGATTTTCTAATATGTATATATTGCCACTTCTGATGATAGTAGATTTCACTGATTATGAATACGATACAAACATATAATGTATATTTTTGTTTGGTCTATGCTTTTTTCTCAGAATATTATATAAAAATGGGTCCATAAACACCAGTGAAGACTTTTTGATAACAGCATACAAAATCAACAATATGTATATATTGCCACATCTGATGACAAAAGAATCCACTGATCATGAATACAATGCAAAAATATCAAGTATATTTGTAGCCTTTTTCTCAAAATATTATATAAAACTATGTCCAGAAACATCAAGACTTTTTATAGCTGCATATAATTAAGTCTTTTTTAAAACACCGATCGGTTTATAGCCAGTGCATATACTGGTAGAGACACTAAACGACGTACTGCAACTATATACGTGCCAGAGAAAGCTAGATAAATAGTTATATGTCTCTAGGATTTTCCGATGAAAAACAAACAAACATGGCACCCCTGTGAAAAAAATTCCGGTTCAACACGCGGCAGAGATTGCGTCGACATCGGGCGATAGGAAAGCTCTTCGCCGTGCCATCCACAGTCCTGTAGCCTCTAAATTGAAAAGAAATGCAGAGGAAGTCCATTTAAGTGATCAAGAACTTACTATCTGGCCGTGAAGGTGGAGGTCGCCTGCACATGTGAGGAATCCACGCTAAAGCTCCAAGGTAGAACACAAGAAACATACAGCCATTCCATCTGGAGACAGCAATTCGGGCACAGTATTCATATGCATATCATAATCATTTAAGAAATACGGCAGCTGTTCTCTACTCCATGTGTTAATACTATCACTGAGACAAAGAGGTAATCTCCAAGCAGATCCCTTTCGGTGGAAAAAAGACAGTATCAAATTTGCCAGGCAGTATCCATTAGCCAGGAAAGGTCGCCGGCCACCGACGGTGGGGGTAGCGACAAAAAAAAACGGCCATATATAAAAAAGCTAACGATCATTCCCCCACAACCTCTGCTTGGAGAGTAACAAAGAGGGTGGGGTCAGTAAAGACGCAGAAGAATATGAGCTTTAAGCGATGATAGCGTAAAATTTTCACTCTAGGTAACTTCACCAATTTGCTACGTTAACCTGAAGAGCAACCTTCACCTGATGAAGTTCGCGTAAGTAGAGTACATGGTAGTCTGGACCAATTTATGCAAATTTATGCAAATTTATTCATAGATGCAAATTTATGCATGTGCGCGGGAAATTTGAACTTTATGCAAATTTATGCAAATTTTGGTAATTTATGCAAATTTATGCAAATTTTGTAATTTTAA